CAAGAAGGGAAAATGTTCGATTTTGTTCACTTTATAGCAATATAAAACCCCATGTGGTAGCTTTTTGCATCCAGTTAGAGATTTGGTAGTTCAAATTAAAAGTCAGGTTAGTTGTTCATAAATATCAATCATAAGAGTTTTGAGAATCTACATACAAGGGTACGTATCCAAGGAAACAAATTATTTCTCAGCTTTTTATGCATGTTTTTTCTGCTTATTTCCGTAGCCACGCTATATTTAAAGAATTTAATTTGAATTATGAAAATTAGGAAAACACCAGTGCTTATAAAAATTGATTACCAGTTATATGGAAATGTGCTTTTAAAAAAATAGGATCACATTAAAGCATAAATAGAGTTAATTTAAAATCCCCTTGCGGTATTAAAACCATAGCAACCAATGCCAACAAATAAGAAATATCACATTTCGTCCTTGTTCTGTGTTACAAGGATCTTTATCTATTAATTGGTTGCATTTCTACCTTTAATTGCTTTTATTTTTGAGTGTATGACTTTTTAAAATTAATGAATAAAATGATTACTTTTGCATACTTTCTTTCCAAAGTAACATATCTAATAGTTGATTTCCCAAATGTGTTTATCATGCAATTAAGAATTAGGCCTTCAAATTTTGGAAACAGTTATTGCCACTTGTTTGCACTGCTGCAAATGTTAATTATAAGACTCCGAACATGTTGAGAAATGCCATGTTTCAAACTTTATGACATGTTGTCATGTTAATCATGGCACATAGCAAACAATTTTTGCTTGATTTGAGATTACGTTATCAAAGAAGTTCTGAGTCTAAGCGTGCCACAGCTCCTATATAAAATTTCAAGTCATTACAGAGAATGGCTCTTAAAACAAATAAACAAGCATTAATCTAAGAATTTATTTTAATGCAGTATCTATGTTTGTTTGTTTGTTTATTGTTTAACGTAGGTCGCGGGTTTGCAGGCCTTTTAAAAGTGTCCGAAAACATACCATGAAAATTAGATATATAATTCCTCTACTTTTGTTTTACATTCTCTGAAAATTTTATAAAATTCGTCTGCATCGTTTTTATGTAATTAAATCCCAAAGATGCCATTGTTGTAGTAACATTTTCAACGTTATTGTATTGAATTATATAGGAAAAACGTCGATTTCGGCTCGTTTTCAGGCAAGATTTTTTTTCAAAAAATATCATTAACTTTTAAATGGTGCAGACGAAATTGATCCCCCTTTGGTATCTTAAAGTAGAATTGATTTGAAATAAATCTATGTGAAAAAATTAATATGTCTTCGGGTTTGTTTTCTCGTAATTTAAATGTAGACAATTGATTTTATACCGCAAAATTTAACATTTTTAAGAACTACGTCGTAAAATATCGCGACGTCACGCTTGACGTCGTGAATATCGATCCGGTATACAGAGCAGAAAAACAAATTAAAATATTTATAATTCACGTCTATCTGATTTCATATGACCCACGAATCGTATCATAATAATTCAATAGCAATGAAATGATTATTAGACATGTTTCTCTTCTAATATTCTTTGTACGTCTCATATTAGTGAAAATTATCTCAAGGGACGTAAAACGACAATCAGTCCTTTAGTTTCTTTCTTTCAATGCATTTTCTTTATGTGTTGTTTTCTTACCGTTTCTTTTCTTTTTGTTTTGTTTTCTTTTCTTTTTCGTAGATAAGTATCCTACATTTGGCTGTGTATTTTTTCAGCGTGCTGGTGGAAAACGGTTATCCTCTTATTCAAGTATACATATGAAATGTTTTTATTTAGAACATTTAGCAATGCGCTAATAGCTACGATAACTTCTTCTGTAGATAACAACATTGTAAGCCGTTACTTACACAGGCACTTGGGGTATTGACCGCCCCCCCCCCCTTCCATTTTTTTCTTTTTAAATCTGGGGTCGAGTCACCCTTTTCCTATTTTTGAAATTCTAATATGTACTATATGTTATCAATAATGTAACCCTTTTGTCTCTATAAGCTGTTTTTAAATATATCGTTTCGACTGATACATAAAAAGAGAGATTTTCTCGTCGTTTAACTCACTTCTTAAACTTAAACTTCGCATGATTTTTTTATCTACAGCATAAGATAACATGAAATATGCAGACATTAATGATTTTTTTTTTTACACATTCATCTTCCGTTTAATATTTCCATTTAATTTTCATGTGCCCCCGATTAGTAAATATTTCGATTAAATCACCCGCATCTAAGGGCATCTTTACGGCCTAAGGGTAAATTGTCGGTATTAAAATACAAAAAGAGAAAAAAAGTGACTCAACCCCAGATTTAAAGAGAAAAAAATGGAAAGGGGGGGATCCATATCTCAAGTGCCTGTGTTTACTTACAGGAGGTCAGTGTCGCTCAAAAAATGTATTAGTTTATGTTTCATAGTACCCTAGCAGTTTTTAATTTGTGATAAACCTTTAAATATATTTTTAAAATGTCCTTTTTAAAAATAAAGGTTAAACTTTTAATGTAATATTTGTATTTGTGATTGTTATATAATGATTTCTTTATTAATTAAACAAACTGTTAATTCAAATACGTTCAAAGGAAAAGAGGTCAGTTGAAACTTGTGCCCATATCGTTTCGTGATACCATGTGAAATCAATCGCAATTTCGCGGACCTTTCCGACAAGCCGAAAATTCTCTCCGAGCGCTCTCCGGGATGCGATTGATAACACATAATGAAACGCTTTCTAATACTTCCAGTGTTGGATTCGAATCGTAATATAAACCTTCATTATATTTGATAACTTCAGTTTGTTCTATAAATAACATATTACACTAGGCTACAGTGTACCATTTCCAACAAAAGTTATATCTAAATATTGTATCGACTATTCAAATCGTAAAAAGCCTTCATTATTTGTGATAAGTTGTGCCTTAAATAATATAACAATAAAAATTTAATACCAATTCCAACAAAAGTTATAGCAATTTCTTTTTCATTGTGACGTCATAATCAAATGTGCACAAGAAAGTCGCCCAAACCATATAAATTGCGTACCCAGTTTTAATGACGTCAGCAAACCCGCGACCTACGTTAACGTCCCTCTCGAGAATTTTTCACTCATATGGAGACGCCACCACTTGCCGGTGGAGATCTACAAATTTTGACCTATACTCGGCACTCAGGGCCATTGAGCATTGAGGGATCTATTTTCGTGCCAGCACCTAGCTACTGCGACACGGGACCTCGGTTTATACGGTCTCATCCGAAGGACCGGTCTCCACGTCCCACAGTCGGATTCGAACCCGCGACGTAAGGGTCAACTCCTACTCCGCGACTCTAGAGCGAAGGCTCTAACCACTGCGCCACGCGGGCAATGCAGTATCTAGGTTCATTATATAGGATAAGGTTCATTGTGCAGGTGTCATAACAGTATTTCACTTGAGGTTCACGTCAAATCATGACTGACGCAAAATAATTCCTGAATCTCCCCTTCCGATTCGGGCATTTTGGCACGAGACTGGAGCTGAATTTTTTTATGAGATGAAAAACTATATGTAAACTATCTGTATTGACCAGATTCATTATAATTTAGGGCGTGCTGATTTTTCTATAAACTGTATTTGAGTGGGGAGTGATTATGTCCTGGACTTGATTTTCAAGCATCTGCTCGACTTCGACAGGAACAAACTTGCGTGCCTTGCTGGATTGCTATGTATTTTTTGGTACTAAAATCTTTATAAAGAATTGTTTTACAAGATCTGAAAAGGAAACTTCTCAAAAGTTTGTTTTAAATTAATACCACCTACTCAAAGTTGCGCAATTTTGGTAAGAATATATAGCAAAACTTGATACTGTTGTGCAACCTATAGGATATGTAAGAAACAATGTTGTACATGGACATTTAAACCTGAAATGTTTCGTGTCAATGATTCCTGCCGACTGCCTATCTAGAGCGCCTACTTTCTTCAGGTTCTGATCGCTTGAGTAATTGACCATAGCAGGTTCCTGTAGAAGTAATATTGCCTTCGTCTTTGAAATGGACGCCATTAATGCACATTTCTTGACACTATCGATATCCAAGTAGTGCATGGAATGAAAAAGGTGAAGATAACGAACAGTGATCGAAAAAAAAGCTATAAACAGCACAATTCTGTGAAGAGGGCATAAAACACGGATCACTGGAAATTCCAGAGGTGGAATCAGGTGCCTAGGAGCAGTAAGCATTCCCTGTTGCCCAGTCACACCCGCCGTGAGCCCTATTTATTGATCGGAATATTCCGCAGTCAAATTCAGTATAAAAACAAAGGCCTAACAATTGGTATGATACAAATCAGCCAAAATACGACCCAATGATAGATTATATTTGCTAATAAGATCATTATAACGGCCATAAAATTTACGAAATGCTGACTTTAAACGAAATTGTTGAAATCCCTTTAACATCAATTACCTGTCAGTAACCTGCCCCGGTTTAAAAATTGATCGTGCTCGGAGCCGCTTTTCTGATTTTTTGTTTAATCAAACGGCTCCGATCGAGTACGATCAATTTTTAAACCGGGGCAGGCTACTGACAGTTTCAGGTGGCTTCGATGTTGAATTGGATGCATGCTAATCAGTTTGAATGATTTACGCATTATTAATAGACACCCAGGTGCAAACATGGGTTCATGCTTAAGGGTGTCGCTACTCCTGTGCGACGCTGAAGGGTGGAATATAGTATCTTTAGTGCTAAGAAGCTTATTCTGATTAAAATCTGATTATATTACAAAACGACACTAGAAATCTGATTCGCTGGAATTAACGTACCTTCACATTTGGATTACATACCATTAACCGTACGTATTTTCTTAAGGTGCATATTTCCCTGCTTGAAATTGTTTTTTGACGTATTATATGTCAAACCATACAGTTTTATCTAACCTGCTTGTATACAAAACGCTGTCTGACAGAATTATTAATAAAAATGTAAATGTACATTTATGTTCTTCCAAGTCAGTGTATCAACAAGAACGTCTTTTTTGTAGAGGTTTTTCAGTTTCATTACCGACGATCGGAAATCAGAGGAAAGAAGATTGGTTCTTAAATAACATGGTCTGTAACGGAAATGAAGATTCCTTGTTAAAATGTGCAAGATCTATATCCACCACCTGTAGCTCTGAAGCTGGAGTTATGTGTTACCAATCCTTAAATAGTGAGTACTGAGATTTATTCCCTCTAGAAGTTTTATTTCATCGTTCTGAATCTATTAATATGTTATTATTTGATTTTCAGGTACTGTTAGACTTGTCAATGGTAGCTCTCCAGATGAAGGACTAGTTGAGGTTTTGGTGAATAACCGGTGGCGACCTGTTTGCTCTACTTCTTGGGACAGAAATGATGCTGCTGTTGCATGCAGAAGTCTAGGCTATTTAGGGTAATTCTGGATTGTATTATCAAATATTTATTTTATCATGTTTATTATAATATTTTATTAGAGGATTGATTCTATGAGAAAAAGAAGAAATAGAATTAGCCAAGTCACGTATATTGCACAGTGACGGAACGTCACCGACCCCTATGTATAATCAAGTAGCTTTTTTTTTTTTTAAAAAATCTCATTTTCGTTTTTTTTCTACAAATCTATGGAATCCTTCACAAGCATTTCCCTGTGCATACATGTACCTTTTTCTTCCTTAAATATTTTTAACTATTCCAAAGTTCAGTTTCCTACAATTTCACAGACTTATTTCTGCTGGAATTCAAGGTATAGCAGTTTTACAGAATGTGTAACTTTTATCAAATTGTCAATATTTCTGTCTCTGTAGATGTTTGAACATCTCAGATCAAGAATATTTATGATTCGATAGTCTCTAGTAGCAATTGTGTTCTTAATATTGAGTTAAAGAGTTTTTTCTCCAGACTTACTGTTTAAAAGAACTTTTCAGATTATATTATAAAATATGTTTAAAAAAAAATTCCTCGATAAAAACGTATTGCATCTTATAGATAATCAAAATAATTATTTCTCTTGGGCGGCAATATTGCTTATGTGGTAGCCATTTTATCCCTTTTGGTAAAAAAAATGTAATGATTTTTATTCTAGCTTGAAGGGTTTCTCATTTTAATTTTGACAAATATATTTATATATACCGTCACGGTAACTCGGTGATCGGAAGGTCGTGGGTTCAAACACCGGCCACAACTGACCTAAGTCGATAAAAAAAATATGTAGCAACTGTTCCTTCCCCAAGCACTCGACACTTTCAGGTGAAACTTACAGGTCTTTCTGATGAGACCTCAAAAACCGAGACCCAGTGTCACGGTAGACGTTGGCATGATAAACATGATAAAGATCCCCTACTGCTCAATGTCCCTGAGTGCCGGGTAAATATCTAAACTTGAAGCCCTTCACCGATATATGGTAACGTCTCTATGTGAGGGAAAAATTCTCGAACTAGAAGTAAAACTACACACAATCAATCAATCAATCATATTTTATATAAAGAATAATACAAACCATTTTCTATATCACATTCTGTATCAGCCCGATACACCAATATATGCCTGAGGGCCAAAATGTGAATATGGAGAAGGATATGTTTTATTATGTATATTTCATACTTAGCAATAAAATATAGCATAAATCTACTTGTGCAAATACAAATAATTAATCACTGACTATCTCATAACATCAAAGAACAGTAATTTAAGTAAAATTAAGTACTGTATTTTAAAGTGAAATCTACAAGTAGTGTGATATATATTCGTATCAGCCCTGTAGGGTCCGTATTAGCCCTGGAAGCTTATATGGCTATTGTGACGTCAAGCATATCACATATGCAAGACAAGTATTTATCAATAAGTAAATTATAAATATAGCTCTAAAGATATTAGTTTGATTAACCCGATCTGTTGTAAGTTGTTGCTTATACTTCGAATATATTTTGAACATTCCGAATAAATTTTGAAAAAAGATTTCCACTGATTTATCAGGAATGACGTCTTTGCAAACAAATTACTCTAAACGTATTATATTTGGCTGCGTGTATAATCTTTTTAGCGCTTTTGTTGAAAGGCAGCATCTGCTTAAGTATATTCAGAAATAGCTAAATTAAATCTACGCTAATTAAAATAAAATCTATTGCCGCTAAATATTGTGCACGTTTAATTTAATCATTAACAGTAATCATAAAGTTAACTCTTTTCTTAGATTTCTAGAGATAAGTATACTCCGGGAATTTAATATAAATCCAAATGAATGAATGTAATTTGTATAATTTTGACGCTTCGATATAAATAAAGAAATAATTATCTTCAAAATAGGTCCAATAATAGAGACATCTTTTGCAGAGGTTTCCCAGTTTCATTGCCGACAACTGTCAATCGGAGAAAAGAAAACTGGTTCTTGAATAGCATGTATTGTAACGGAAATGAAGATTCTCTGTTAAAATGTGCAAGTTCTATATCCACCAGCTGTTACAATGCGGCTGGAGTTATGTGTTACAAAACATTAAATAGTGAGTATTGAGATTTATATACTATAGAAAACTGAATTGCACTTTGTGAATCTATTAATAATGTTATGATTTGTACTTAGGCACAGTTAGACTTATCAATGGTAGCTCTCCAGATGAGGGAATAGTTGAGGTTTTGGTAAATAACCGGTGGCGACCTGTTTGCTCTTCTTCTTGGGACAGAAATGATGCTGCTGTTGCATGCAGAAGTCAAGGCTATTCGGGGTAATTCTGGATTGCATTATCAAATGTTAAATTTCCCATGTTTATTATAATATTTCATATAAGAGGCTTGATTCTATAGGAAAAGGAAGAAAACAATTAGCCAGGTAAAGCCTATTTTTCTGTGACTTTACGTTACCAATCCCTTAGTATAATCACGTTGCTTTTTTGGATCTCATTTTCGGTTTCTTCATAAATCTGTGGAATTTGTCAATGCATTTCTCTTTGTGTGCATTTTTAAATATTCTTCATATAAAAAAGGTGAAGATAACGAACAGTGATCGATCCAAAAAAAAAATCCGTAAACATTACAAATATGTAAAAAAGGCATAATACACGGACCCTGGAAATTCCAGAGGTGGAATAAGGTGCCTAAGAGGAGTAAGCATCCCCTGTTGACCGGTCACACCCTCCGTGAGCCCTATGTATTGATCAGGTAAACGGAACATTCTGTAGTCAAATTCAATATAAAAAGGTATTACACGTCAGCCAAAATACGACCCATTGATAGGTTATATTTGCTAACAAGGTCATTAAAACGACCATAGAATTTACGAAATGTTGACTTTAAACGAGATTGTTGAAATCCCTGAAACATCAGCATGTATGTCAGTAGCCTGCCTCGGTTTAAAAATTGATTGTATTCGGAGCGTGCTTTTAAGAATCGAATGGAGGTAATAGTGGGATATTACTACTTGACGATGGAAAAGCTGAAGTCATCTTGTTTTTCATACAGTTCAGTTGTTAGTTAGCCTTTATCGTCTATAGTCAGTTAAACATCCAAATATGAAACAGATGTGGCACAACCTATTTTGTGTCTTTTTCTTTCAAATTCACTGGAATATATCGAGTCGACATATGAATGAAAGTAACTATAATTGTAAATAGATAATACGTGGTCTATATCTAAATGTCTAGATTAAGGCCACATCAAGTGTTTCTTCTCATGTAAATCCATCTTTCTGTCTCATTCTTCTTCCTGAAATGTTTTAACTATTCTAAAGATCAGTTTCCTACAATTTCACAGGCTTGTTTCTGCTGAGTATATGTCCTTGTACATGTACATGTATATGATCAAGTTCAAGATCAAGTAATTAAATGAAGATGCAATCTTTATCACATCATCTTATTTTTGCCTGTGTAAATTGTTGAGCCCGTCAGATCAAGTCTTATTTTTTGATTTGATAGTCTCTGGAAGTACCGGTAATTGTGCTTTCAATATAGAGTAACAGAATTGTTTTCTCCAGCTTGATATTACATTAGATAGGAAATTTCAAAAGTTCGACTGTTGAAGAAAGTAATGTATGGTTATTTTTTTAAAAAAATATTTCATTTCCCAGATCCTTATTTATAACAAAATATGTACCCTAACTCTAAAAAAATTAAGGCAGCTGTCAGGGATAGGACCCTAACTAAACTCCTTTTAAACAAAAATGATTTTGTTCCTAAGAAATCTCGTAAGATATTTAAATTCTTAATTAAAAATAATACATTTTGAATACAAGCATTTTCAACAAAACAGTGGAACAGACTAAATTATTAATCAAAATAAAAAGGAGCTAGTGAAGATTTGGTTTTAATCAGACTGTAATCTTACACTCATAAATATTTCTCTTATTCGACCCCTCATATATTCCAAAATCTTTATATAATATTGCTTGAAAATAGGATCTACAAAACTTTTTTTTCAGTAAGATTCTAGTAGAAAAAATTACTTGATTTTCAAGATACATTATAATACCCTAAGGAGAAGTTAAAATTCATAACATTTTGTTTATTTATATAACGTGTATTTGAAAATTCGTGTACTTTAAGTATGTTCTTAGTGGTCAAGAGAAGAATTTTGTACTCACATAGACAATTACATTTTTCAATTATAATGGAAAAATGGTCAAGAGGCCTAAAGTTTCGCTTTTTATCAAACAAATCATATCTATACTTTTACGTTTACTGAGATGATGTCCGTAAACTATATTCAGATTTCATTTGCATACTAATTATCGTAAATTTAATTAAGAGTCTGCTTTCATTTTCGATAAACAGCCGTGAAATAGCAAAAAAAAAAAAAAAAAAAAAAAAAAAAAAAAAAAAAAAAAGAGTACGGTGGTGGTTATGGTTGGCGGATCTAAGTTACTGGCAATTTTTATTGAAACTGGCAACAAGCAATCGTTAAATTATTTGATAAAACATCATTAATGAATTATTCGTTGAAAACCTGATTTAAGTGATGCAGAAGAAATAAGTTATGATTACCAATTAAAAAACAAAATGTGCAAATTGTTTTCGCCAGTATCCGATTTTAGTTAAACGTCTATATTCTAGAAGGTCAGATGGCATCAAACCCGATGTTAAAATAAAATACAAGGCTATTAATAACACTACATGAATATAAAATGTTTTTGATGTGAATGGACATGGAAATAATGGTAAAGCAATTAACAACACTATAAGTTGTGAATATATTTATATATCAAAAGATTTTTAGTAAGTTGTGCTAATAAATTTTTCAGTAAAACAGTAAAATGTGCATATTCCATTATTCGCCACTGAGAGCATCGTGGCAACGAACCCGAAGTACAAATTGTAAATAGTAATGATAAATTTGCAAAATAGAAAATGTCAATTAATGAACATGTTGAATATGGATTATGGCTGAATAACCTTTTAAAAATTTATGCTTTAATCAATCTTTCTGCATACAGTCTTATGTATGAAATATTAGGTCTATATACATAATTTAAGGTGTGAAAATCTAATTCTTAATCCCCCCCCCCCCCAAATGTGCTGACAAATTCAGGAAAATGTGCATATTCACGTCTTTTATTCTTGATGTACAATACGTTGAACATAATACACCAGGTATCAAAATAAAGTTGCTAACATGTAAAGAAAAAGCGTCAATTAATTAGTGAAATTGAGATTTTAAAGTTAAACAAGATGTGTTTGTGAAACACTTATGCCCCCGTATGACAACTTATAGCAAAGGTTAAACTTTCTCAAATGTAAATCAAATAGTTGGTACCCAAAGTAAGGTATTGTGTCGAGGTCAAGGTCAATGGATAACAATTGTTGGTATCCAATAGAAGATTATACATGTGAAGTATGAAAGCCATAGCACCCATGGTTCAATAGATATTGCCAAGGTTGAAGTTTTCCAAAAGTAAGACAAACTCCAAGGTCAAGGTCAAAGGGTCAAAGTTGTTGGTATCCAAAGGAAGGTCTTGTCACAAGGATAACATGCCAAGTATGAAAGCCCTAGCTGCAACGGTTCAAATGTTATGGCCAAGGTCAAAATTTTTCAAAAGTAGGTCAATCTCCAAGTCAAAGGGTAAAAGTTGTTGGTATTCAAAGGAAGGTCTTGTCACAAGGATAACATATGTCAAGTATGAAAGCCCTAGCATCAATTGTTCAAAAGTTATGGCTTAGGTTAAAGTTGGGTAAAATTTTGCAAAACTGGGTCAAACTCCAAGGTTAAGGTCAAAAGGTCAAATATGGAGGTTCCCAAAGAAAGGTCTTGTCACAAGGAATACACATGTGAAATATGAAAGCCATATCTCCAACCAATCAAAAGTTATGGGCAATGTTAAAGTTTTTGCGGACAAACAGACAAACAGACAGACAGACGGACGAACAGGGCAAAAACTATATACCCCCGTATCTTCGATACGGGGGCATAAAAAAAGACGGGGAGGGGGTAAATTTACTTCTGCTCCTAAACCAATTGCGGGATTTTGAACAAAGTAGTTCTTCCTGCTATAAGCCTGTAATCAATTGTCTGTATAAACTATGATATATTGCTGGAATTATTTCGTCAGCATTGGTAAAAATTCAATTCCCCGCGCCTGCGCGGGATTTCATCTAGTATGATTTAATCCAAGTATCAAAGAACATAGTTTTCTTTGAAGACCAACTTACGATTTTTCCAAATTGGCTGTTGCAAAATATCACCAAATTATCTTTTCTCAAAACTTTTACATTCGTTAAAACAATTTAGCACTTCTTTGTAAATAGTGGCAAATGTATACCTTTTAAACTTTCCACGCCTGTTGTTGAACATTTCAAAGGAAAATAGATATCAGTATTAAGTTTTTTTTACGAAAATCCTTTAAAATAACAAACAAGATACTTTTGAATTAAGCAATCGTGGAATCCATGCTGCTATCAATGATTTTAGTTTACATTCTACTTCGACTGTAGATAGTCCACCTCGAATTATGTCACCTATCAGTGTGTTACGTTTAATTCTTTCCGTTTTTCCAAAATAAATTTAAAATTTATCTTTGTAGTTTTTAACATAATTATTATCGGGAGGGTATATATTGACGATGTATATATTACATATGTAGTTTAGAAATATCAAGCGTCCGAATAATTAATGCAAGCTTTACCTAAAAGAATTAATTTTCTCCGTTTCCAAGATTCAATTTTTTTTTTCCATTTCATGATATACCGTATTCTCATCCAGTTTATTGTAGCATTTCTCTTTATCATGGGCTAAATTAAATATCTAAACATTTAATTGCTTTATTGATAACCTTCAATTCCATAGAGCCTGTCAAAGTCGTTTTTCATATTCCCAAGCAAAATACATTCTGTTTTGTTAATATTAATCTTAGAGCCAACAAAGTCGCTTTTATTACATCTACTGAATTCTTGATGGATATTTCGTCATTAAAGCTACCGTTAAGTCATCTGTCTGCTGGATATTTTTAATTTCGTGATTATTTATTGAGATACCGTTAATGTTATGATAATTCTTTATCTTAATTGCTAGTATTTCGGCTACAAACAGGAAAAGGGGTGCAGATAGGGGACATCCCTGTCTAATTCCTCTAGTCATGGAACACGCTTTGGAAAGCTATCCATTGTTTTCATTTTTAAGACCGGGTTTGTATAGAGAATGTTTGCCCATTTGATAAAGTTATTACCCATTTTGAATTTCTTCACTACTTTATAAAGAAAGTTCCATTCAACAGAATCAAAAGCTTTTTTCGAATAATAAA